GTGTGTCTACTTGAGGTAAATGTTTAACTCACATGCCTATACTTTGTTTGGCTGGAAACCACAGTTGTGGGTTCAATTCCAGCCAGCAGGTCTATGTTTTTGATCTATATTCCATGGACTCTAGGTTTTCTTGGCTGTATTCTTTGCCATGTCTTTCTCCCACAGAGCAGCTGGGTGGGATTGATTAGCAGTTGAGCACTTAACCATTGTGCCACTAGGGCTCCTTGAAGTGGGGTGGGGCGGGGGCATTTTAAGATCGGAAGATTTTGGCCAAGATATAATAAACTTTAAGGGAACAGAAACAGGAAGGGAAGGTGAGAGTAAGGAGTATGGTGGAAGAACTGCCTGTTCTCACTCTCTTGTTTTTTTCATGAAGATGAATAAAACAAGAAACAGTGGGATAAACTTTAGATTGTGGAGCCTGCTTTTCAGAGTTCTCTGAAATCCACTTCAACTTGATCTTTCCAACCCTCTTTAGTATTACTTTAGAGCACAGCTGGACTTCTTCCAGAGCCTAGACATGCTGCATGCCTTTCCATCTTTGTGGCCTGCATCTTTCTCTCACATTTATGTACTGGAATCCTGTTTATCTTCCAGATGTTAGTTGAGAGGGCCCTCCTGCATGAAGCCTTCCATGACCCTCCTAGGCTGGCATGAGCTTGCCTTCTTCAGACTGCCCTGGAATTTGCTTGTACTTGAGTTAGGATGGCAACTGCTGTGGCCTTTCAATATTGTTACTTATGTCCATATCTTATTTCTTTTTCCAGGTTTTGAATTAGCTCTGCCTTTGGCACAGTATCTATAATAGTGCCCTGCATGTAGTAAACACCTGCTATTGCCATGTGTGCAGAATGTTGTTTTAAGTACTGTGTTTGTCACTTAATTAATTGGAAGAGGGGGAAAAGCCAAAGAAGCTAGGAACAAGTAATACGGATAAGTCCACACTGACTGTAAGACAGGTCCTTAGTGAAGAGAGATGAGGCCAGAGAAAAACGACATGAACTGGCCACTTTGACTGATTTATTCCAGCATTCATTAAAGATACGATATGGTTCGCTCTAGCAACTTTAGTCAGTGTGAGAGATGAATATATGAGGTAATATACTTTAGTTCTGCCCTGGAGGAGGTAGGAATTAGTGGAACTGGCAGTCCATGTAAGTAAATAAGTATAGTGCATTATGATAACAAAAGTTTTAATTAAAGCACTGGACTCCTAATGGTGTGTGGGAACCTTGATGGAAAGGCCAGGAAGCTGACTTTTTGATTGATTTTGGAAAGAATTTTCTAGTTAGAGGAAACAGCTTATGCAATACAGGGAAGAAATTGAAAGAGACTGATATTTTTGGGGAATTTTACTTAGAGGAGAGAGCAAGCTTGAAAAAAGTGTGTGCTAGCTATCAAGTTACGGTATAATGGAGAAGACGTTTTTGAATTTTTTGACTTTTACAGAGATTGCCCTGAAACCATACTGGAGAGTAGATCAGAAGTGGCAAGACAACAATTAGGATCCTGAGTTGTTGCCATAATCTAGCTTTAGGATAGCAATATGGACTTGAACAAAGGCTTTAGCAATAGGGAGAGCTGAGAGAGAATGAGCCTGTTAGACTGAATCGGCAAGATGGCTCATCAGGTATAGGAGAACCTAATAGAAAGAGAATCTGAATCAGTTGGCATTAAGTATGGCCATATATACCAGAAGACTCGGTATCATTGGCTTCTCCTGTGAAAGAAGTCCAGAGCTCAGCATGCAGAGCCTGTGTGACAGCTCCACAAACAGAGATCCATGCTTTCTCTTCTATTGTTCCGCCATTGTCAGCATGTTCTTTCCACTCACTAGGTTATTTCATGGGAGCTCTGGTAGCATAGTGTCTAAGGCACTTGACTGCTAACCAGAAGGCTGGCAGTTCAAACCCACCAGCCACTCCTCAGAAGGAAGGTTGGGCAATCTACTTCCGTAGGAATACTGCCTCAGAAACCCAAGGAGAGGTCGCTATGAGTCGAGTCCAACTCGACGGCATATAACAACAACAACAACAACAACAACAGGTTATTTCATGGTCTAAGATATCTAGAGAAGCTCTAACTGTTACAACCATATTCCAGGCAGCAGGAAAGGTAAAATCAGTCTTAATCTCAGTGAAGTCATCTTCTTTTAAGTCGTCTTTCTGGAAGCCTATTGCCCCTTGGAGTTATTATTTACCTCTCATTGTGCAGAACTAGGTCACTGGATTACCCAAGCTCTGAGGAAGCTTCCTCGTAGGCAAAATATACAGGTCTTGAACTGAGAAGCAAGGTCTGGACTAGAGGCAATGATCTGGTCCTCATCATCACTTTGGAGGTTATGTTATATTTGGAAATTATGGTTAAAACCTTGGGAGCAGAAGCTCTCTTTTAAGATGAATGCATAGACTGGGAAGAAGACAGAGCAGAACCTGGAGCAAAACCACATTAAAAGGAAAAAAGAATCACACACACACACACGCACACACACACACAGCTGTATATATTGAATAATGAAAATGAGAACTATGTACCTTCATTGTTCTTTTGTTGAAGACATCTTGGGCTGCATGAAATTAAGCTATTAAACAAAAAGTAAGCAGTTAAACACTAGACTCAGAGGTCATGTAGGTCTTTTTCAGTCATTTGAGTGCACTGGCGTATACTGAAACAGAATCTTGTTGTATAGATACCCATTTATATCTATGTGGAAAATCCAGTGGAATCTACAGAAAGATACTATAACTGAAAACCAGCTTAACAAGGTTTCAGGATAGAAGGTCAATTTTATTTCTATATACTGTCAGTGAATAGTTGGTGACTGAAATTCAAGAATATCATATACAATGGCAGGAGCCCTGGTAGCATAGTGCCTAAGGCACTGGACTGCTAACCAGAAGGTTGGCCATTCAAACCCACCAGCCACTCCTCAGAAGAAAGGTTGGGCAATCTACTTCCGTAGGGATACCGCCTCGGAAACCCAAGGAGGGGTCGCTATGAGTCGGGGCTGACTCGACAGCAAATAACAACAACAACAATATACAATGGCTTCAGAATTTTGAAATATTTAGGGATAAGGCTAACAAAAGTGAAAAACCTGAATATTGCAAACTACAAAACACTGTTCAGAGACAGAAGGCATAAATAGATGGAGATAAACCTTGTACATGGGTTGGAAGCTTTAATATTGTTAAGATGTTGTTGTTAGTTGCCGCTGAATTAGCTCCAACTCGTGTTGACCTCATGTATAACACAATGAAATGTTACCCCATCCGGTGCTAGCTTCATGATCATTGGTATGTTTGAATTAAAAGCACATCTCAGCAGCTATTCTTTCTAGGATTTCATCAAAAAGCATTTAATCTAACCCTGGGCTGAAATATCAGAAACCATTTTTTTCGGGGCCTACTTTCCAGGGCTAGGGAATTTCTACCCCACTGGGTAAGCAACATCTAGTATTTCTAAGCTGCTAGATGAAGTTTTTAAAGAGCTCTGGTGGCGTAGTGGTAAGGCATTTGACTGCTAACCAGAAGGTTGGTGGTTAAACTCACCAGCTGCTCCGTGGGAGGAAGATGAGACAGTCTACTTCTGTAAAGATTTACAGCCTTGGAAACCCAGTAGGAGTTGCTATGAGTTGCAGTCGACTCAATGGCAGTGGGTAAATGCAGGACCGGCCATTGATTCTCTCTTTTTCCAACTGAAAAGAACAGCATGTAGGGACTGTCTTACGGGACACGAGATAGATAACCACTTGTCTTCTAGATCGTTTTAGCTTTGAAGTAAGCACAGCTAGGGATAAGTGACTCAGTCAGTTGTGTGTGTGTGTGTTTGCTTGTTTCCATGTGTGGATGTGAATGCGCATGTGGATATGAGCAAGGGTATTCCAGTCATTTTTGGAATATGGTTTTTGCTCTTGTACTAAGTTCCAATAAAATGCATCGTATCTTAATTGGAGGTAATATTGATATTGACTTAAACATTACTTTTTTCTTAATAGGTATCAGTATTATTTGCAGCTGAAAAAAGATATCTTGGAAGGAAACATTCCTTGTACATTAGAACAAGCAATTCAGCTAGCAGGCTTAGCTGTTCAAGGTAAATAGTCAACAACATAATCCCTCTGTAAGGTTAGGATGTGTGTTAATACAGAAGCAGCCAGGAATTCTTAAAGTAATTGATTTTCTCTATATCTTTATAGTATTCATATATCAGTGAAGTGTCATTCTGTTATCTAAGGGGCTTCCTTATGGGAAAAACATGCATTTGGATTACCTCAATAAAATGTGAGACTTCTGGAGGGTTAACCATGACAACAGGTTCCACAACAAGTGGTTACCATGCTCCTGGTAACCACTAATAACCTTTGATGGCTACATATTTTTTAAAAAATTTTATTTCTCTTGTTGAGAATTTGCACAGTAAAAAACATACACTGACTCACCACTTTCTTCGTGTGTAATTTAATGACACTGATTACATTCTCACCCTCCTTTTCTGAGTTGTTCTTCCCTCATTAGCTGTCCCCTAAGCTTCCTATCCAAGTTCTCTGGTGGCATAGTGCCTAAGGCATTTGACTGCTAACCAGAAGGTTGGGGGTTCAAACCCACCAGCCACCCCATGGAAGGAAGAGCACGCCATATACTCCAGTAAAGATTTACTGCCTCAGAAACCCAATGGGGGTCACTATGGGTTGGAATCGACTTGATGGCAGTGTTTTTTTTTTTTTTAAACTTCCTGTCCAGTCTTACCATTTACCATTGTCACTTTGATAGTTATTACAAAAACACAATGCTTAAGGCAGGCATTTTTTACTAGTTAAACTAAAGTATTCTTTGGTTTTGGCATGGCTTCAGGGGATATTTTTGGTTAAAAGTTTAAAGATTATTTCAGGGTAATAGTTTCAGGAGTTCACATAGCTTCCATGGCTCCAGAGATGATCTCCGTAAAAGCATTTAATATTATGTATTCCTCCAGTCCAAGTACTTAATCTGCTATTAGCTAATATTTTAGGAAGAAAGATCTCCCAAACAGTGAATAAGATTATACTCATATATATTTTAAGTATACTTCATTTTGTTTGGTTTTATAAACAGTTGTCCTGGACTTTAGAGAATCGGCAGTCAGAATGGATAATGATTTTGCATCTCACATTTTGGAATTGTTAAGTCTTTTATTCCTCATTTGCCTAATCTACAGATATTAGGCATGTATGTATGTACTTGAAAGGAGCTCTGGTAGCATAGTGGATAAGGCATCTGGCTGCTAACCAGAAGGTCATTGGTTCAAACCCACCAGCTGCTCCTTGGAAGGAAGATGGGGCCATCTACTTCTGTAAAGATTTACAGCCTTGGAAACCCAGCAGGCGTCACTATGAGTTGGAATTGACTCCATGGCATTGATTTTTTTTTTTTTTGTATATACTTGATGGAACATTATTTCATAAAATAACTAGCATTCAACTTTGGGAATTGAAGTTCAGTCAGAAAAACAATTAATAAAATCCCTCCAGATATTAGCAGGCATGAAGACATGTATCATCTGATAAACAACGCCTGATACACATGGAGCCACATTACCTTTTGCAAAAATGGCAAGGAGGCCACATGTTCTGACCTCCTCTAACCCTACAAGAGGAAGACAGGATTACCAGCAGTAACCCAAAGCCTATTCCTGCCAGGCCAGACATGCTGCCTCACCCCTCCAGCCCTTGCTCCAACTGTTCCTCCCAAAGCACCCACCACCTCTCTTCTGGGTTTGATAATTCGCTGCAGTGGCCACACAGAACTCACAGATTACGGGGTTTATTAGGGAAGCACCAAGCTACAATTTGTGTTCAGGAAAAATGCTCAGTCTCTCTCTCTCCAGCCCACCGTCCCTCAGCCAGCAGTCTCTCACAGTCTCTTTCCCAGCAGTGCTGGTCCCTCGGTGTGTCACTCAGCAATGCGTGTCTCTTGCGTCTCTTTTCCAGCAGCACGTGTCTCTTTCAGCAGCTCGTCTTCCTCGACCAGCAGTCAGAGAGAGTTCTGCCTCTAGGAGGCCTCCTTTTGAGCCCCGGCAGGGTGGTCAAACTAGCCAATTATAGCATCAGAACTCTAAGCACCTGAGAGAGAGTGGGCACCTCCCAGAACATTGTTTTGTGCCACTCCCAACAGAAATACTCCAGGTGGACACCTTCAGCAATCAGGAGCTCCTCAGTTGCTCATAGAAAATCCCACCTTGGAGTTTACAAAGACTTATGGGTAGAAAAGCCACACTAAGTAATTTACTATACTGCACCTTTCAAAGTACTTTGAAGCTTCTTAAGTATCATCTTTGGCTTTACATGTTAGTTCTTTGCAAACTTTTTGCTAAACTGTCCATTTTTTAAAGCATTTTAAATTTCAAAACTAATACATCTTACTAGACCATACTCCACTGATCTAATTCCGTTTGCCAGAAGTAATCACTACTTCTTGTAATCCCCCAATGAAGTCCATATGGTAGATTTACCAGGGCCTAAGGAATCATATATGATTACAGGGTGGTTGTTGCTAGGTGCCATCCAGACAGTTCCAACTGATGGCGACCCAATGTTACATTGTGTGTAGAGTAGAACGCCTCCATGAGTTTCACAGGCTGTAATCTTTACTGGAGCAGACCGCCATTTCTGCCTCTCGGGGGCCACTCACAGGCTGTAATCTTTACCGGAGCAGACCACCAGTTCTGCCTCTTGTGGGGCCGCTTGGCGTGTTTGAATCTCCAGCCTTTCAGTTAGCAGCTGAATGCTTGACCACTATGCCACCAAGCTCTTTGATGGCAGGGTAGGTTTTGTTCTTTATTATGAAAATGAGATTATATGTCATTTGTAAATTTTTTTTCCTTTAGTCATGGATATTTTTCCAAGTCTAGACATGTGGATCTAATGTTTTTAAAAAGATATTTTAAAAATACACACTTGATAACTGTGTTAAGATAGATTTGACTTGTGATAATCATAAGCACACGGTCTGTCTACTGCATGTGGAATTTTGTGATGCACATAGTGCCGTGCAAGTGACATAATTGACTGTGGGACTTGTCATTCTGTACAGCTGATTTTGGTGACTTTGATCAGTATGAATCCCAGGACTTTCTTCAGAAGTTTGCCTTATTTCCTGTGGTAAGACTTACTTTTACATTGGGCCTTTTTAAAAGCTGTTGATTCATCTACCCTTAATAATCCCTGAAATGAAGTCAGTATACTAGATTTATCAGGCAGACGGGTGTTAAAAAGTCAGTTACTTCTTAGAAACAACTCAAATGTGAATGCTTTCCCTGTTGTACTCTTCTTGGTCCTTATGAACCCATAGAAACTCAAGGGTCTGTAGTCCCTGGGCGGTGGCCAGAGAGATTAATTTACTATTTGAATGTGAGTCTAAGTTTAGGGATTAGCTGCAGCTTCTGATGAACCAGGCTGGTGTTCTTTTAACTGAAGGCTTCAGACCTCACAAAATCATGTGAAATGAGCTTGCTTTCTCATCAGCAATGAAAAGAATTTAGATACCAAAAAACACACTGACTTCTACTTTTTTTTTGACATAAAAACTGTGTACTAGAACAGTGAAGGCAGTGCTGTAGACCATGAACTGCCAGAAGAACAAACAAATCTGTCTTGGAGGAAGTCCAGCCAGAATGGTCTTTAGAAGTGAGGATGGTGGGACCCATCTCATATACTTTAGACATGTGACCAGGAGGGACCAGACCCTGGAGAAAGAATCCCTCACGCTTGATAAAGTAGTTGTTGTTGTTAGGTGCCATCGAGTCAGGCTCAGCGAACAAGAGGAAGACCCTCAAGACGGATTGACACAGTGGCTTTAACAATGGGTCCAAAGAGCAGTGATTGTGCGGCTGGCGCAGGACCGGGCAGTGTTTCGTTCTGCTGTGCGTAGGGTTGCTGTCAGCCAGAACCGATTCGACGGCACCTAACAAAGCAACAAAATGCCTTGCTGAGTTCCCCCACCGTGAGGCAGAGATGCCCAAGACGCTCCTGTGCTCGCCTCAGAGCTGGCTGATTAAGGGTGCCAACTTGAAATAACTTGGATGAAATGAGTTATTTCTGGGATGAACTGAGAAGACAGCATGAGCTTTTTGGCTCTTGAGCAGAAGCCATTAATTCCCTCAAAAGATCCCACATTATTAACGCTACTCATACTTTTGCCAGCTCGTGACAAGAGTTGGAAGCAATCGGTAGCACTGATTCTTCCTAAGAAATTTGGTTGATTTGTTTATGTACTTAACACTGTGTGTTTTATTCAGGGGTGGTTACAAGATGAGAAAGTATTGGAAGAAGCAACCCAAAAAGTGGCCTTACTACATCAGAAATACAGGTAAACACTGAGAACTCAGAAATGGAAAGAGTGTGGGACTCATGCCTCTTCAGTTCTGACATGTGTGCTGACACAGTGAGATTCAGACGCTTTGCGGCTGCTGCTGCTTTTGCTGCTGGGCCGCCGATGTTTACGCAGCACTGTACGTGCCAGTGTGGCTCTAAGCACTTACCCGTCTTAACTCGTGTCATTTTCCATGTTTTACTGATGAGAAAACGGAGAAAGTTGAAAGTGGCCGGTCATGGAAGGGTGGGTACTGATTCTTTACCTTTGGAATTAAAGGCTTGTGGAATCCTGTGTAGGTTAGTGCAAGATGAAGGAGGTTGGCTTCCTTCACCATGGCAGCAAGGACAGGTTTCTCCCTGAATGCCTGTGGAGCCTGCATCTCTGTCCTCTGGGGACCCTAAGCTGGAGCTTACTGCCCTGACCTCTGCTGCATACTTGGCTGTGCTGTAGATCCTGACTGTCTTGGATGGTGAATCTGTTACATTGTGTGTAAGAGACACTCTCCTAAAGCTCTGTCTTAATCTAAATCTAATAGTGGCCATCTAGATGAAACTGTCCTAGGTTTCCTTCCTCCCCGCCCCATGTATCTGTGTGTGTATATATAAATAAAATTAAATTCTTTTAAAAATTTTTTTAATTGTGTTTTGGATGAATGTTCATAGAGCAGATTTATTTTCTGTACACCAGTTGATACATGTTCTATTTCATGACATTGACTGCAGTCCCCACAATGCAGCAGCTCTCTTCCCACTTCTTCCCTGTAGTCTCACCTCTTCCCTGTGTCCTTCTTTCCTATGCCTTCCTGTCCCCTGAGCTATTTCCCTGTGCAAATACGGCCTTTTTGTTATCTCATAATTGTTCGTTCTAAGAAGTATATCTACCTGGTGTAAATGTTCATCCTGTATGTCTGTCTGTTGTTTGGCTGGAAGCCACGGGAGTGCGTTCAATCCCAGGACTAAAGGCCACAGCCTCTCGGTAGTCTCACCAGTCTCTATCAGATTAGTCAGGCTCTATCAGATCAGTATACCTGATTTTTTTTTATGATATTGAGTTTTGTTCCACATTGTTCTTCCACTCTATCTAGGATCTCCTGTACTGATCCTTTTCCAAGTGGTTGACACTGATAGCTGGGCACCATCTAGTTCTTCTGGTCTCATGGTCATATAGGCTGAGGTTCTCATGGTTCACTAGTCCCTTGGACTAATTGTTTCCATGAGTCTTTGATTTTCTTCATTCTTCTTTGTTCTGGATGAGGAGAGACCACTTGTTGCATCTAGATGGCCGCTTGCAAGCCTTTACGACCCCAGTTGTTACTCACCAAAATAGGATGTAGACAATATTTTTGTGTAGTATGTTATGCCAATTGAGCTTTATGTCCCCTGTGACCAGGGTCCCAAGCCCGCAGGTCCAACAACTTGCTCTATCAGGGTGGTTGACTGTGCCTAAGAAGTTATCATAACATTACCCCCTGTTAGTTCTGTTTATATGGACATTCTTACAGCACATACACATACGTTTTAGAAATGCTGTCTGCCATCCTTACATATGATCATGGGTATGTTCCCTTTTGCCTAGGCATACCTGATCATTCAGCGTGCCTTCCCATCTATTTATCCATAAAAACCAAAAAACCAAACTCACTGCCATTGAGTCGATTCAACTCATAGTGACCCCTCCTTGGATTTGCGAGGCGGTATCTCTATGGAAGTAGATTGCCCAGTCTTCCTTCTGAGGAGTGTCTGGTGAGTCTGAACTGCCAACCCTCTGGTTAGCAGTCAAAATGTCTTAGGCATTATGCCACTAGACCTCCCTTATTTACCCATAAACCAAAAAACCAAACGCACTGCTGTCGAGTCAGATCCGACTCATAGTGACCCCTCCTTGGGTTTCCAAGGCAGTATCACTACGGAAGTAGATTGCCCAACCTTCCTTCTGAGGGGTGGCTGTGAATTAAATTTTTATAACCAGTCTTTAAAGTGAATATTGTAACTTCCATTTTATAGATGAGGAAACCAAACTCTAAAGACTAAATAACTTGCCCAAAGTTACACAATCAGTAAGTGATAAACCTAAATTTGTCTAATTATAACTGATCGTTTATTCTCTTAAAAATAACATCTTACTTCTAGTCTTTTCCCATTCAGATCCATACAGTTGCTTTAAAAAGATTATTGTTGTTGGTTGCCACCAAGTCAGTTCCGACCAATGGTGGCCCACGTGTGTGGAGTAGAATTGCTGTATAGGGTTTCCAAGGCTGTGAACTTTTGGAGACAGATCATCCAGGCCTCTCCTCTGAGGTGCCTCTGCATGGGTTTGAGCCGCCAGCCTTTCAGCCAGTAGTTGAGCACTTAACCATTTACACTGCCCAATAATTCCTTTGTTGTTGTTGTTGTTTATATGCCATCGAATCGGACTCAACTCATAGCAACCCCTCCTTGGGTTTCTGAAGCAATATCCTTACAAAAGATTAATTTCCTTAAAATATCACTTTCCTCTTATCTCTTCTTCCCTTCTCTAATGCTAGTGAATATTTCTTGTTCTCTGCTAGCCTGAGTTCATTACCCTGATTCTAAAAGCCTCCCACAAGTTGGGTAAATCTTACCTTTGCAGCTTTACCTTCTGTGGTCCCAAATGAACCTTTTTGTCCAGAAGAATTGATCCTCAGGCACACATTGCCCTGTCTTTTGTCATCTTTGTTCATTCATTTGTGCATTTCCTTAAAGGATAGTTCAGGAGGACTTTTGGTAGGATGGAGGAATAGTCAGACATGCAACACAGACCCTCTTCAACAAAGAAAAGGAAAACCAATTGACAGAGATACAGAAGATAATCCTGGAGCCCTGAGCTTTGAAAGGAACTATGCAGAAGTGGATTAGGCAGCAACTAACGGAAAAACCTGAATGAAAACAGTGAGTACAGAGATGGTTGGAGCAGCAGACTGTCAGCTACTCTGACAGGACCAACAGCCTGAATATTTCCAAGTGGTGTTAGGACCTGAGAATTGACCTAAAGATCAACCCTGGTCACCAAGGGCTGTAGAGACGACTGTGCTGGTGCCCTATGACTAGGAAGGGAAACAGCAAGGAGGGAGACAACCTGAGCTGTTGACTTTCCGCTGTCCGGAGGGTGCTGCCATTTTGAATGTTTACAAGCGGCGGCCATTTTTTATATTTAAAGTGACCAAGGGCCCAGTCATTTTGAATCTTTACAAGTGGCAACCATTTTGGATTTTAAAGTGATAGCATTCTCATTTGGATTCCAGAGACCTAAGAATGGGCTCTGTTTGCCAAGATTGGCAGGGACATACGAAAGACTGACAATAGGAAAGGAGACAGGTAGTGAGTGTGTAAGTGTTGTTACCTAGCGAATAGAGGAGCATAGTACCCTGCTTGTGTAGATAACATACAAATAAAACAAAAAAAACAAAAATCATAGGCAAGTCACTCCAACATACAATCACCAATTAAATATAAACACAAAAATGTCACAATGCCTTGGAGACAGCAGAGCATCACAGTCCACACAAAGAAGCAAGATAAAGCAGGGAAAACAAGGGACCAGGATACAGACCCAAAACACATCCCTGAGGAGGATGCACCACTGGAATTCCCTGATAAGGAATTCAAAAGAATTATATTTAGGTATCTTCAACAAATTGAGAGACAGATCAAGGAAAACACAGAGAAAACCCTAGAACGATTTCTTCAAAAGACAATACAAGAACAAAGTGACAAAATAAATGAAAAAATTAGAAATGATGCAAAATATATACACAGAAATCCAGAAGATTAACACTAAATTTTCAGAAATAGTTAAGACATTGAATGGGCAGAGGAGCAGAATTTAATCAATGGAAGACAGAATTAGAGAGATTGAAGGCAAATACTTGAACACTTCTTTGGAAAGGGATCAATCAGAAAAAAGATCAAAACAAAATGAAGAAAGCCTAAGCTTCATGTGGGATACCATCAAAATGAATAACCTACATGTAATCAGAAGTCCAGAACAGGAAGAGAAAAACAAAACCACAGAGAAAATTGTCGAAGATTGGTTGGAAGAGAATTTTCCTGGTATGATGAAATATGAGAATATATCC